GACCTTACGTACTCTCCACCCTCAGTGTCATATATAGATAAAAAATTAAGAGAAAAACTTACTCAAACCATTAGCTAATTCACTATACTATTATCCACTCATATTTTGAGTTAAGATTACAAAAATTAGCGAAATTTTTTTTGGAGTAAATTAAACCAATAAAATAATTTCATTGAAAAAAACATAAAATAACAAAATAAGTTAGTATTAGTAGAAATCAATATGTAAAATTAAATAATATATATAATTAAATAATAAATATATTATTAACTTGTGAAATAGATTTTCAAATCCATATGGCCCATTCCTCATGGGCTATTGTGTTTTTCCCATTTGACAATTTTAATTAAAAGATGATGTGTAAAAAATAAAAGCTTAATCATATTAATGAAATGTTTTGATTGGAAGATAGAAAGCTGATGTGTCAGCTCCAGAATTGTCTAAAATGCTGACGTGGCGGAAGGATGGAGAGAGATAGCCTCCTTTCATATATATGATTTATATCGAATGAATGCAACGAAAAGATTTTACTTTAGTCATGTGCATACTTTTCTAGCTTTAGTCAATTTCTCTTAGAAATTTTTCACTGTAATTTCTTTCGCCATGTTCCAAATGCATTTTTTGTCTTCCGACATATTTATATCTTTTCACGTTCTCTTCGCTAACATATAACTGATTAGACTAATAAGTTATTGTTAACTTATATCAGATTTTTTATTTTATTTTATTTTGTTATACTTTATTTTCTCTAATCAGTTACAAAATGTTTTTTGGTCAACAACTCTTACATATTAAATATTATCTTTGGATTATTCTTATCCACGTACATCGGATTTCATTGTTAAACTTTGCACTAGCTCTAACCTAACCGCTTGAAAAACCCTTGTATTTTAACTCTATATTTAAACCACAAAATTTTCTTCATATTCAATATGTATTTGTTCTTAATTTTTTCTACTTATTTTTTCTTAAAAATAAATATTCGTATTTCGGGTAAAATTTTACATGTACTATTATAATTTTTTTTTTACTCTAAATGATTTATACTCCTTTGAAAATAATTTTTGTTCTATTACATATTTTTTAGGGAGACTCACAAAAATGCCCCTTTTTCAATACCCCTTTTCAAAAATGCCCCCTTTGGCTGTCCATTTTTAAAAATACCCATTTTTATGTACAAAATGACTAAATTACCCTTCTTTTAATATAAAATATCACAAATATATAAGGAAATATAACAAAATTAGGTCCACAAAATACAAAATATTTTTTGGCGGGAAAATTGATCCCGCAATTTTTCCCGCCAAAACACTTGAAAAAACTTGTAAAACCTTTAAAATACCTTGTAAAATTTTCCCGTAAAATTTTTTCCCGCCAAAAATTTTTTTTTGCGGGAAAAGTGATTCCGCAATTTTTTTGGCGTTAAATTTTCCGGCCAAAAATTTACAAGGTATTTTAAAGGTTTTTTACAGGGTATTTATAAGGTTTTACAATGTATTTTAAAAGGTGTTACAACGTATTTATAAGGTATTTATAAGATATTATAAGATTTTACAAGCTATTTTAAAAGGTTTTACAAGTTTTTTATAAGGTTTTACAAGTTATAAATACCTTATAAAACCTTATAAGTACCTTGTAAAACCTTTTAAAATACATTGTAAATCCTTACAAAAACACTTGTAAATACTCTGAAAACCTTTAAAATACCTTGTAAATTTTTCCCGCCAAAAAAATTGCGGAATCATTTTTCCCGCAAAAATTTTTTTTTGGCGGAAAAATTTTTTGGCGGGAAAAATTTTTACGGGAAAATTTTACAAGGTATTTTAAAGGTTTTTACAAGTGTTTTGGCGGGAAAATTGCGGGATCACTTTTCCCGCCAAAAAATATTTTGTATTTTGTGGACCTAATTTTGTTTCAAATAAGGGTAAAATGGTCATTAAAAATTAAAAGAGGGCAAACTTAAAAATGGACCCTCAGAAGGGGCATTTTTGAAAAGGGGTATTGAAAAAGGGGCATTTTTAACAATTTCTCTATTTTTTAACCGTGATAATTGTTTTTTTCTTACCTTTATCATTTACAATTAATCATATGTGTATGTAATATCTAAGTTTATATGTATCCAATCTGAATTGATAATTTTTTCATATATATATATATATATATATATATATATATATTTGTACTGTATTTTATTATTTTATTTTTCTTTAGTTATTTTTCAATTACTTTTCTAATAAAAGATTATTGAAAGAAAATGTGTAAATTAATGCAGTCATTTATAAATAAATTTGTGGGTGATGATGATGATATGATGATGATGTGGATAACTTAGATGGACAAGAGATATAGGGGTGTCAAAATGGGTTAATACCCATCGGTTACCCGAACCCGTCCATGATTTTAATGGGTTTGGGTAGAATGTTTTTACCCATATATATAAATGGGTTTTAGTGGGTTACCCTATTAGGGTTATGGGTTTAATGGGTAAAACCCATTAGGGTTATAGGTTACCCATGGGTTTCATAACCAAAACTAAAAAGTAAAATTTATATATATCTATATTAATATATTATGTAAAATTTATATAAATATATGTAAAATATCTTCTTTTCTTTACAACTATATATGTAAAATATCTAAAATAACTATTAAAGTTTACATTTTACCTAAAAATAAAAGTAAAAAGTAAAATATATGTATAAAATCTAGATTTTTTTAATTTATTATTTAAAAACTTTTGTTGGTTTACAATTTTATGTTATTTTTTTGGATTTTTATTATTTATATATTTTATTATACATATATATGGGTACCCATATAACCCATTAAGCCAATGGATTTCTACAATAATGGGTTTGGGTATGTAAATTCAACCCATATAAATATATGGGTCGGGTCAAACCCGTCCATTAAACACTCAAATCCATATGGGTTTGGGTCGGGTCGGGTCGGGTTACCCATTTTGACATCCCTAAAGAGATATGTCTACTAAATTTTGATGTTAGTAAAAAAAAAAAAAAAAAAAAACACTTTAGATGGAAAACTTGGGTACACGATTGAAACGACGACGACGTCGTTTTAAAAGCAAACCCAAAAAAAAAATTAGGTACAGCCGGAAAAAATCGAATCGGAGCATCTGCTTCTTTCACGTACAAAACAAAGACACACTTTGCGAATCCTCTTCACAGAGAAAGCAATAAACCTCAGCGCAGAATCAAATCGGTACGAATCTTTATCTGATTTCGGTTCGGTTATCCTTAACCATTGATTGCTCTCTCCTTTCAATTATCTATCTTCGATCATCTGGGTTCGATTTCTTCGTTAGCTGCTTGATTCTGTGATCGATAATCTCATTTAGTGAATTTTGATTTTAGGGTTTTCTCTTTACTGATTTAATCTTATATGGGGATCTTCTGAATCGGATAAAGTCATAACCTTTAGTTAGATTCTAGCTCAAAGGTAAAGGAATCGTCTTTATTGCTGAAAATGATCGAGCTTTAGGTCTAATACATGTCAGAGAATTTGAATTCGATTCTGAGCATAAAAATTGAAAATTTCTATATAGGGGTTGCTTAATCATTTGTGTTGCCATGTTTGCTCAATGTAGCACTAAGTCAGAGTCTTAATAGTGGATACTGAAATAGAATTGCATCGGTGTTTCGTTGGGATCTTCATTGAAGGATTGATATATGGGGATCTTCTGAATCGGATAAAGTCATAACCTTTAGTTAGATTCTAGCTCAAAGGTAAAGGAATCGTCTTTATTGCTTAAAATGCTCGAGCTTTAGGTCTAATACATGTCAGAGAATTTGAATTTGATTCTGAGCATAAAAATTGAAACTTTCTATATAGGGGTTGCTTAATCATTTGTGTTGCCATGTTTGCTCAATGTAGCACTAAGTCAGAGTCTTAATAGTGGATACTGAAATAGAATTGCATCGGTGTTTCGTTGGGATCTTCATTGAAGGATTGATATATGGGGATCTTCTGAATCGGATAAAGTCATAACCTTTAGTTAGATTCTAGCTCAAAGGTAAAGGAATCGTCTTTATTGCTTAAAATGCTCGAGCTTTAGGTCTAATACATGTCAGAGAATTTGAATTTGATTCTGAGCATAAAAATTGAAACTTTCTATATAGGGGTTGCTTAATCATTTGTGTTGCCATGTTTGCTCAATGTAGCACTAAGTCAGAGTCTTAATAGTGGATACTGAAATAGAATTGCATCGGTGTTTCGTTGGGATCTTCATTGAAGGATTGATATATGGGGATCTTCTGAATCGGATAAAGTCATAACCTTTAGTTAGATTCTAGCTCAAAGGTAAAGGAATCGTCTTTATTGCTTAAAATGCTCGAGCTTTAGGTCTAATACATGTCAGAGAATTTGAATTTGATTCTGAGCATAAAAATTGAAACTTTCTATATAGGGGTTGCTTAATCATTTGTGTTGCCATGTTTGCTCAATGTAGCACTAAGTCAGAGTCTTAATAGTGGATACTGAAATAGAATTGCATCGGTGTTTCGTTGGGATCTTCATTGAAGGATTGATATATGGGGATCTTCTGAATCGGATAAAGTCATAACCTTTAGTTAGATTCTAGCTCAAAGGTAAAGGAATCGTCTTTATTGCTTAAAATGCTCGAGCTTTAGGTCTAATACATGTCAGAGAATTTGAATTTGATTCTGAGCATAAAAATTGAAACTTTCTATATAGGGGTTGCTTAATCATTTGTGTTGCCATGTTTGCTCAATGTAGCACTAAGTCAGAGTCTTAATAGTGGATACTGAAATAGAATTGCATCGGTGTTTCGTTGGGATCTTCATTGAAGGATTGATATATGGGGATCTTCTGAATCGGATAAAGTCATAACCTTTAGTTAGATTCTAGCTCAAAGGTAAAGGAATCGTCTTTATTGCTTAAAATGCTCGAGCTTTAGGTCTAATACATGTCAGAGAATTTGAATTTGATTCTGAGCATAAAAATTGAAACTTTCTATATAGGGGTTGCTTAATCATTTGTGTTGCCATGTTTGCTCAATGTAGCACTAAGTCAGAGTCTTAATAGTGGATACTGAAATAGAATTGCATCGGTGTTTCGTTGGGATCTTCATTGAAGGATTGATATATGTTTATTCCCATAACCTTTGAGTAGATTTAGCTCAAAGATAAAAGAGTCGTCTTTAGTACTGAAATGATTGAGCTTTGAGGTCTAATACATGTCGAAGCGTTTGAATCCTTGAATTGATATCGATTCTGATAATAAAAATTGAAACTTTCTATATGGAGGTTGCTTAATCATTTGTGTTGTGTTGGTTGCTCAATGTAGCACTACTTATTAGTTGATACTGAAATAGAAGGATTAATAAATGTGTTCTCTTTGCTTGTTTTAGTATGAATTTCTGGATGAAGCATCGAGTTCGGTGTTCATGAAGGTCAGAGTTAGGTATTAGCAGAGTTTTGGTGACGAACAAGGTATTCATGTTATCTATTCCTGATACCAGAATGTGGAATCTAGCATCGAGTTATCTTACGGGAAACATTGGACCGAAAAACGAAATAAGAAGACCAGTTCATGGTCATGCGGAATGTTCAGATGACGATGCATCTTCTGTAGGGAGTAAAGACGAAGGTCTTGAGTGTCCTATTTGCTGGGAATCATTTAATATAGTTGAAAACGTTCCTTACGTGTTATGGTGTGGACACACGATGTGTAAAAACTGCATTTTAGGACTTCAGTGGGCTATTGTGAAATTACCTACTCACCCGGTTCAGCTTCCTCTGTTCATTTCATGTCCGTGGTGTAACCTATTGTCCTTCCGTCTTGTCTTCAGAGGAACCCTCAGATTTCCTCACAAGAACTACTTTGTCCTTTGGATGGTCGAGAGGATGAATGGCGAAAGACGCAACTCACCCGTTATAGCACAAACCGATGGGAACAATGACCATACAAGAGAAACTCCATCTCCATGTCTCCACAATCGCCATCATCGCAGTCAACCTGAACCATCACGTTCTGTTAATGATCATCGCATTCCCAGGGACAACATACAAACTTCACTGAGGAAGTCTCTGGTTTTCTTTGTCCAACTGACAGCAAAGTTCCCATTGGTTGTCATATTTCTGCTGATAATACTCTATGCAATACCGACCAGTGCAGCCATATTGGCGATGTACATTCTAGTCACTCTCTTGCTGGCTCTACCGTCATTTCTCATCCTCTACTTCGCCTATCCTTGTCTCGACTGGCTTGTCCGAGAGATTGTTACATGAACTTTCTAAGGAAGCTTTCGGAAACTTCCCATTCCTAATTTGACGACTTTTCTCAACAACTGAGACCCAAGATCGGTCCGTCCGTCATGTAAGTATAACAATTTCGTAATTACCGTCTTCCTTATCTATATATGGATGTAGTTATGGATTGCATTGTTGCTCTATGGAAGCTGGACGCATGTGTTGTAAGGGCTATTACAGAAACTTATTAGTATTGTACTATTTCAGGATTGGTTTGTGATTGTTTGAGGTTTTGTCTCAATAAGATTTGTGTATAAAGTTTATGCAATGTTATTAGGAATTGTGTGTATATGTAACCAAGTACAATTCCATATACATAGTGTCATAAAATGGTGTGGTTTTTGTTTAGATTTTTTTATTTGTCCCATTTCCGTAGAAGTTGAAATAATCCTCTTCATTAAGTCTGAATCCGATAGTAATCTCTAAAGTTGTTTTGAATTAAAAAAGGGCTAATGCAAAACCCAAATTACCACATCATTTATTACACAAACAAAATTATTTTTATTCTTGTTCATTCATCATCTTCATATGATCATATCCATATACTTTTCTTCTTCTTCTCTGATTTCTCATTGTCATCGACCTTATCCTCTATCTTTCTATTCTCTTTTCTTTTTATGTTCTCTTCACACACATCAAACAAACCAAACTTCCAAACTTTGTTCACAAAGAAACCAAGAACAAGAACAGAGAGTATTAATATAAATTTTCTTCTCAAGATTTGGAATCACTTCTTTCATTACATCGACATTTGTACACTGGACAAAACCTTCATGACTTTATCGTAAAAGTCGAGCTATTGAAGATCTTTGTTTGTTCGTTTTTAGTTTTTTTGTGAAGAAGAAGAACAAGGGTTTGATCCTATTTGTTCGCCTTTACTTTTTTATCCAATGGTTTGTGTGTGACATATTTGACAAAGACTTGAGTTAAACAAGACAAGCTGATGGTCTTCTCATCAGCTTCGGTCTCTTTTTTAACCATGGGACTTGAGTTTACATCATCTTTTTGTTTTGATACCAAAATATATATATTAGACAAAGACAATCTTATGACAAAATTATACTGCTACCTAAAACACAACGATAAAAGTATTGAATAATATCATTTATAAATGATGTAGAATAGAGTTACAATATCATTTAGTCTATAAGAAAAAAAAACTCATGGCAGAATAACTACTTGGTTACGTAATAATAGAAATGGTTACACATTGGAATTGGGTGCAACACGACTTAGGTTGCCGGCCGGAAAGAAGGTACAAACCCAAAGCACGATGCAGACGACAAAAAACAAGAGAAGGAAGCATAATGAGATTAGTTCCACTGGACTCATATGAAACATTTTGTTTTTTTCACCACACCAAAAAGTCTTCTTTGTATATTGATCTCACAAGAAGAGTATAAATACACGTCCACAACTTGGTACGTAATCAAAGCAAAATTTAACCAAAAAGGTTAGCAGAATATGGAAGAAAAAAAAAAGTTAACATAACAATACATGCGAATATACAATCCTTTAATCTGAGAATCTAAAAACGAGAAAAAACAATTAGAAGTTAACATAAGAATATGATGCAAATATACAAAACTTTAATGTGAAAATAAAAATAAATAGAAAAAGGAAAAGTTAACATAATTCAGTAAGATGCAAATATAGAATTATGTATGCTTGGCACTTCGACTAGCTTTGTTTATTATTTTGTTTTTAACATATTTGGATTGACTAGGCCCATCTATAGCCACGACTTAGTGGAGTCCAATTCCGGTGGGAAAGATGAAGTCAAATGGACTTAACCACTTGACTAAAACACATCCCCTACTAGCTAACAAAATCTTTGTGATCCATTTTGGTGATGTAATTCTAGTCACTAGAGTCGTTTCTCATCTTCTACTCTTTGCCTATCCTTGTCTCGACTGGCTTGTCCGAGAGATTGTCATATGAATTTTCAAAGGTTGCTTTCAAAAAACTCTCATTCCTCCACACCACTTTTTATCGACAACTTACGAATAAGATTGGTGGTCTGTCTAAGAGATTTTAAGTATAACTATTTCGTAATTACCGTCTTTCTTATATGTAGTTTTTAGATTGCATTGTTGCTCTATGGAAGTTAGACAAAGGAGATGTGCATGCATTTGCGTTGTAAGGGCTCTCGTAGGAACTTAATAGTATTGTACTATTTAAGCATTTGTCTCAATAAGAGTTGTGTGTATAAAGCTTATCTCAATGTTGTATGTAAATTTATTGGTTTTCCATACGTATATCATATATAGTAATTAAAAAAAGGGTATAAACATGGTTTTAATTAGAAACCAAACAATCTGAAGGAAGTTGTTAAATTTCATCTTCCATCACCCAATATAACTGTTGTGAGAAGTGAACATTGAATTGTTGGCAGAGGAAGAAGAGACTGATGATGTCATTCAAGTAGAAGTTATCGCAAATGAGGGAAATGTGGAGTTGAATCTCCAATTCCAGAAGTATCTACAGAGAAATCAGGCAATGTTTGGTGTCTATTTATGTATTGCACCACTATATCCATGCTAGGTCTGAACTCTGGATAAATATTTGTACAGAGCAACCCCAGTTTCAAAACCATGTCAACTTCTTCATGTATGAATTTACCTCTCAATCTTGTATCTATAGCATCAACTAGAGAACCTTTTCTCCAGCATTCACAAACCCATTTGACCAAATGTCGTTTCTCAATTGGCATCTCTGGATCAAATGGTCTCCTCCCACAGAATACTTCAAGAATGAATACACCAAATGCATACACATCGGTTCTAGTGGAAGCTCCTGTTGATGTTAGCTCAAAGGCCATGTAACCTATGGTTCCAACTACTGAAGTGAAGGTAGCTCCATGATTATCAAACATAGCCATACGAAAATCTCCTAAGAAACCTTGTAAGTTTTCATCTAACATGACATTAGAAGCTTTGATATCTCGGTGTAAAACAACTTGACTGGCTCCTGTATGCAAGTAACATAGCGCAGAGGCGATATCTTTCAAAATTGCAAGTCTTTGAGACCATGAAAGAGGTGGTTTATCACTGTTGAACAAGTATTGATCAATGCTACCTCCTTCCATGTACTTAGAGACCAGCAGTAACTCGTCTTTTCTCCTGCAATACCCGAGAAGAGGAACCAAATTCTTGTGCTGCAAACTTCCGATTTTCACAACTTCAGCCAACTGTTTCATGCCTTGTGTTGCATCATTTAAGAGTATCTTAACTGCTATATCTCCTACATAAGGCAAAGTTCCTTTGTATACTTCTCCAAAAAATCCTTTTCCAAGAAGACCTTTTTTGTTAAACCCTCTTGTTGCTTTGTACAAAGATTCGTAGGAATAACGAAATGTACGGTATTCTTTTTCCCATGGCTCTTTAACTTCCGCATATATCTTTCTCCTGTAGAGATAATATCCTCCTAGAACCGCCGCCATTACTATGAGTGCGAGTATAACCAGTAGAACAATAAGCAAATACGATATTTTCCGTTTGGTGGGACGAGGAACGGTAGGAAGTTTAGAGATGTCAATGCTCTGTAATGTAACTCTGCTTCTGCTGAAACTCCACCCTAAAATGTATTGGTAACTTACCAATGATCCTGTTGCTGCAGAAAACCCAACAAATGTTTTTCGATCCGGGAATAATAAGAAGCTGAAGAGTCTCAAGCTTATGTTCTTCCCTTCTTTGTCGGAATAATAAGAAGCTGAAGCAGAATCAACGGATTGGAGGCTGTTTTCGCCTATACCGACATGGTTTTTATCGATGTCGTTAAACTCTGCGTTCTTGACGGTATCGAGCTCAATAGCTAAAAGATGAGAAGAAGGAGATCCATTAGTTGAAATGTTGAAGAGACCAAAGTACTGACTTGGATCTGCTTGTGTAAGATCCATTGAAGATGATAGAACAAAGGCAATCCCATGACCACCATCAACTCCTGACTTAGGGACAAGAGCGCACACGAAATGAGTCGAGAAAGATA